GTCGGTAGTTGGTGAAAAGCGACTGATCATCAGATTTAAAAATAGGTATCACGCGAGCGATTTTCATTTCATCGGGAACAATACCATGCTGGATTGACAAGTTTATGATATGGGTGAGTGGTTCAGAAACAAGTAGAATGGACTCTTAATGACTGTCATTGGAATCTGGTCGTAGCCAGCTGCTTTGCCTGGAAGAAAAGTTTTCGCAATCTCAGTGATCTCATCTTGAGTTGTAGGGTTGAAGAATATTGACTGTGTAAAGGAACCATTAAGAAAACAACGGTGTGAAGCTGACGACTGTATACCCCTTGCTAAATTAGGACCGATGCTTGAAAAATAACTACAAAACTTGTTGGCAATTTCGACAGGATCAGTAACTTCACGATCATCAGCTTTAAATGTTGAGCATCTATTGGAATTTCTTTTGCTTCTGTTTAGAATTTCATTTAAAACTTTCCAAGTAGCACGAGTATTAGATTGAACGTTATTCAATTTCTTCTCATAGTATAGACGTTTTGCTGTCCGCAGAGAATGATTTAATTTGTTTTTATAACTTTTGTAAACTGATTGACGATCCATTGTTGGATTTCGCAGATATTTTTTATAAAGCCTATTTTTCTTCCTAATACACTTAATAAGCGCATTGGATAGCCACGGTTTATTTAAACGGGACTGTTTTCTAGTTAATTTTTTAGAGGGAAGCACACATTATAACTTTCAGAATACTTCTTTATAAAGCTATTATACGCGTTTTTGGGGTCATGATAACCATCAAGGGAGGACCAGGTAATTTGTTTTAGCGTTTCGAGAAAACTCGCTAAGTTTTCTTTATTATTGTCTCGAATGACCACTGGGTCATGAGCGTGGCTGTTGGAAGAGTCATTATTTGAATGAATCGAAAAAACAGGTAAGTGATCAGAGATATCAGTAATCAATAAACCACTTCTCGAGTGATCAAAAAATGTGTTTGCGAAAATGTTATCTAGCAATGTTGCGGTGTGAGAAGTTATTCGGGTGGGACGTGTTATCATGGGAAAAAACATATACGAGTGCAATCCATCAAGGAATTCGCCAGTGTTTTGGTGATGTTGAAAGTTAATTAAATTCAAATTGAAATCACCCATAATAAAACATATTTTGTTCTCTCTAGAGATTTTCGCTAACAGATCATTGTGTTTTGACACAAAATCACCAACTCTCTGATTAGGTGGCCTGTAAATAACACCACCGATAATATTTTTCCCATGGGGTCTTGATATTTCAATAAACAAAGATTCTGCAACATCAATATCGTCAAAACTCAAGTCAGCGCGAATTTTAAAATCGAGATTGTCAGAAATATATAAGCCAACACCACCACCAGTTCTATTTGGGCGATGTTTGTGAATAAAATTGAAACCATCTATGTCTACTGAATGGGAATAATCATTTAGCCAAGTCTCAGAAACGCCAATTAAAGAGAACTTAATATTCAAGCATGTCAAAAGAATAGAAAGGCTGTTTAGATTACGTTGAAGACTACGAATATTTAGGTGTAGGAGCGAAAAATCTTCATCACATAAATTATCATTTCTCAACATTTCGTTAAATTTGTCTTCAATGTAGTAATCACAGTGGACGTCGTCTGTGCAGAAATTAACATCAGGATCTATATCGTCAGAACGAGTTAGGGAAAGATTGTGACTTGAAAATAAAGGATCGTAATTTAGGCTGGAAAGTCTGTCAGGATCATAACGGACCGGGCCATGTTGAAGTTCGTAAATTGCAAGGTTAAAACTATAATCGTCTAAAGCATTAAAAGGTAAAGTGTGATCAGGAATCGAAGCCATGGCTAATAAATAATAAACACATAAATACGTACTATAAAAATTATAGAAAGCTAAAGCACAAAACTACACAGCTACTTAACTGGGACGCTCAATTCTGTCTTTAATAACCAGCCTGTCTAAAACGAAATAGGCTATTTTCCCATTTCTTCTCGCTTCTTCAAACTTAGGACGCTGCTCTTCCCTCTTGTCAAGGGTTTCTTGTGCCAGGTCTTCATTAACAAAAATTCCAGGGGGCTTGATTCTCCTTGCACTTCTGATGATCAGTTCTTTTTGCTTCCAATCGCGGAGGCGACAGACGATGGTCCTTGGACGTCTTACGGAGCCAGTTGTAGCATTTGCTCTTCTGCCGACTCGATGAGCCCGCTCGATATCCGGTTCTTCATCGAGGTTAAGCTTCTCTTTGAGTATCTCCTTTACTTTGGTTTCGGTGTTGTCCCAAGTTTCTGCTTCTTCCTCTCGAATGCCGTCTATTCGAATATTACTCCTTCTACATTAGTGGAGTTTCTTTGCTTTCTCTCAATTGGGCATTAACGTCGGCCCCAAGATCAATGAGGGTCTCAATAAACTGACTTGAGGATGAACGACTGGCCTGCAGCAAAGCTGGGTAACCACTGTCTGATCCTGAGGCATTAATATCTACACCGTCATTTAATACAAGTGCAACTGCCCGTTCCACATCATCATTGCATGAACCCCACTGCAGCTCAGTGAGTCCGCTCTTGTCCTCAGCCAACTTTTCATAAATCCTTTTGATATCAACATTAAATGGGTTTGTTCTCTTTCTAAGTGACAATAAGTCAACTGCCGTTTTGCCAGAAAATTTTTTGGCGTTATTTCCTGTTTTTGTAAGTTCCATTTCTTGCACAAAGTTGTCAAAAAGGCCACCAGCTTTTAAAACAATGTTGTATTTTTCCTCAAAGACAGTCGCCTGGAGCAGATTAAATCCAGATCGTTCATCCACTTGCAAGAAAGCTTTTCTTGTGAGTTTCTTTAGACAGACCTATGATGAAAATGAACATGTGTTTAAGCGAAAATATTAAAGAGGAAATTCATTTGGCACTTAATTTTGCAGACAATAGATTAACGTGGTTTCGCTGTATTCTCATTGCAAATGGATACATTTAACACAACATGTGATGGTGGTTGGTTGCTATGGTTAAAATATATACGGCGTCATTAGTAACATAAGGGCAGACCACTTAAAGATAGGAATAAGAATTTTTCGCACCATTTTGTTAATAATTCTTACTATGATCAAATTCACAAATCGCAAACGTGATAATATTTATGAAGAGACGTGCGCATTGCACAAATTTTATTCTATCAAGTTCAACAACAAAAATATTTCTGGAATGTTATGTGTCGAGGGAAGAAGGCAAAGAAGTGTGGGAGAAGTAAGCAGAAAAGGTATTCATATTTTGGCTTGCTGCTCGCTAACTCCTTTTTCCTTATCTCCAGTGGGATTGATCATAAGACAATGAACATTTTCAACGTTCATGCTTTTCTGAGTTTGACAGTAATGATAATCATTGAAGACCAAAAGTATGAAAAGGGTTCCAACGGGCGACAAATATCACGTGAGAATTTTGAAGCCGTCAGATAGGGTAAAAGTTTGGTAAACAGGTCAGCACTCCGTCGAAAGGCCCTTTCTCCCCTTATGATTTTTACACAAGGTAGAACTGTTTTCTGCTTTTATATCACACTTAGATGATATTTCAAGCTGGAAATCATTTATGAAAGTGCAAGTCTCTTCAATTTAAAAGAAAAAAAACTGATGTGAAGGAAAAGAGGATTCGAACCCATGACCTAAATTGCCACTACACCACACTATCCATCCACTAACCACTAGACCACTAGACCACTGACGATTTATTGGATGGTAGGGAAATAATTAAAGTACACATAGCATCAACCCCAACTCAACAAAAGAACGTAACCAGTTTCGAAACATTGCTTAACCCTAATCAGAAAAGGAAGTGCTTAACCCTAATCAGTAAAGGAAGTGCTTAACCCTTATCAGTAAAGGCAGTGCCTAACCCTAATCTGCAAGACGATAAGGAACACTACGTTGTGTAAACTTCATAAGGTGTCCAAGGGCCTTTCGACAGACTGACCTGGAAAACAAGACTTTGTGGATCTCACCTCCACCCTCCCAACCAATGTTGACGTTTTTGTTGTCCCTTGATCAACGGGTGGGCGTAACCGAGAGAATATATATAATGTTCCTGTACAGAAGAACAAATATAAGGTCTTCGTGATAAAAGCTGGAATAAAAGCTCATACGACAATGTATAGGTCCTACGGTAACGTTAAACATTATCGAAATAGAATACAACAAACGCAAGTGATTTCATCTGAGAGACAACGCTTCGCGAGTAGGACATACAATCTGATATCTTACTGGTTGACGAAAACTTGGCCTGGCACCATTCTTTAATAGCAACTGCACTATGGAGTGGTGGTTTCGACGCTCAGCTTTTTGCAGAGGGGTTCGTTGAAACTAAAAACGTCACAAGCAGAGTAAAATGTGTAACATGTACATGCTATTTCCCAACAAGAAAAATAGTCTAACTAACGATATGTCCACATAAAGTAGTACAACATATAGTGTTGTGGTGTCTACATGTCCAACATGCAAAAACAAGCAACAGAATGGGATTTGAGCTTAATCTCGATTTTTAACAGGCGATCAAAATCCCCGTTCACGAAGTAAATAAAAGCGCCTTATGGGGGACTGGGCAGAGTTGCCTGTGACGTCAACCCGGTGTCTCGGCGATAACACGATTGGCTACAAGATACCGGGTTGACGTCACAAGCATTTAGTGCCAGGTCTCGCAATCACTCCTTTTTGAATAAATATGGCGGGAAATTAGCCTCCAATTGCCGATTTCGTCCTTCGATAAAACTGTGTTGAAACGCAAAACAACTTTTATTTCTTCCCAAAAATTCTTTAAACTACATAAATGTTCGAAATTTAAAGGGACAGGTTCACGGTTAAGCGCATGCTCATTAATTAAATTACTTCTTTCCAATTTATTATTAATTCTATCGGTTAATAATCCCACTCACATGTATCTCAGCGATCTAAGAGTGTGTTTCAAAGTAGAATTGTATTTCAGAGTAACCTGAAATAGGATGGAGGAGTACTAAAATCGCAGAAAAAATTAGTGGATTATGCCAACACTACCAACGCTGAATTTATTGTTGACCCGAAGGTTTTATGTTTGAACCGTGAACCTGTCCCTTTAATGTAACTGAATACGGGTGATAGGCACTTTAAAAGTCGGTTCACGGTTAAGCGCATGCTTATTAATTAAATTACTTCTTTCCAATTTATTATTAATTCTATCGGTTAATAATCCCACTCACATGTATCTCAGCGATCTAAGAGTGTATTTCAAAGTAGAATTGTATTTCAGAGTAACCTGAAGTAGGATGGAGGAGTACTAAAATCGCAGAAAAAATTAGTGGATTATGCCAACACTACCAACGCGGAATTTATTGTTGACCCGAAGGTTTTAGTTTTGAACCGTGAACCTGTCCCTTTAATGTGACTGAATACGGGGGATAGGCACTTTAAAAGTCGAAAATTTGAATACATTAATACGGTTGCCAATTCAATGTAATTGGTCATCTCTGAGAGATTCGTATGTGAATAAATAGTACTCGAAAAACAAGAACTTCCCTTGCCCCACCCCCTAGACTTACGCTGTCTTCAGCGTCGACGTTCGCTCCGTAGGTCAATAACAGTTTGACAACAGATTCCTGTCCATACCAACAGGCAAGATGAAGAGGAGTCAAAGAAAACTATAGAAAACAGGAAGAATAACGCAGTTAGATAAGATTGAAAAAAAGCGATCCAATGCCATACTAATGATGGCCTTTGCGCCGCCACGAAAATCTTACCGGATGGGGCTTCTGTTCATTTCTGTTCATAAACAAGAACGATTTTGGCAGAGCGATTTCTGTGACGAAGCGAAACTATGCCGCGCCGATCTCAAAAGTGGAACGTCACATACCGGATAGGTTTTGTGTCAATCTTGCAGTGTGAGGACCTTTTGGGACCGTCGCGGAAATAAATAAGTAGGAGCGAGTACTGGAACCCAGAGATGGAAGTAAATTTTAAGGAGTAAGGAAAAGAATTTAGTACACCAAACTCTCTCTGCCCCGGGCCGGGGCAGAGAGGTAAAGAGGTATAGTGTGAACATAACTTAGGCAGTCTACTGATGAACATCTACGACTTATAGATATTTTCAAGAAAACAAAAATTTGCTGTCTGTCAATCACGCTTGTCAATACCGGCCAATCAGAATGCAGTGTTGGTTCTTGAAAGCAAAGCATGTACTACTGGAGCAAAGCCCAAACACAACCTTCTGCTGGTAACCTACTAAAGCAAGAAAGGAATATAAGAATCAGTAAGCATCAGATTTACATAGATTGGCCGAGACTTAAACCTGATCTCTTTGATCCACATCTTCACCACTTTCAAGAAGCATTTTAACCAGCTCGTATTGTCCACTGACCGCAGCCTTGTGTAGAGGGCCTCTTGACGCCTGTTTCAAAAAATGCCCTTTTATCAGAGAGTGAATTTTCAGTTAACCCTTCCACCAAGTGATACTTATGACATTTACATACATGTATGTCAGTCTGGATTTGCAAAAGGTACCTCCAGGATTTTTTAGCAAGTCTCATTTGAGGCTTGTTCAGTACTTGACCATTTTTTGTTATGATGTTTGAAGTACAAAAAAAGCCTAGTAAGCTGCAGTAGACAAAAAAAAAACATTTGTACATAATGCTGTTTACATCTTTCCCCACCCCCTCTTCTCCCCTACCTATCATTTCCCATCATTCTCTCCGTGTCGTAAAACATTATCACATTTGAAATCAGCGCGCGGGGTAGAAGTTGTTTTCCGTAGTCGGTTAATTTTCTAGATTTCTTTCTGGTCGCCTGCATCAGAGTTTTTTTGTCTCAAGATTGGCAAAGTCTGCCGTCGTTCAAGATGTTACCGTATTTCGTCTCATTTTGGCTAAACGGGTGAAATGTGCAATTACAAGGCAAATTACGTCTCACTTATGACTGCACGTAATGTTTCTCAATGTATTAAATTCCGAGGTCTTAGAAAACATTACTTAGCTAACATTTGAAATTTCTACTAAGATGCAACGAAAAATTAACAACCACTTCTTTTTGAATCATGCCATTATAATATTTCCATACAATTCCTACTAATGAAATGAAACCAAGCCAGTCTTCCGTTTCGACAATGTCTAACGGAAATGGGTTTGACAACTGTCGTACATTTTTCCGAGCTATTATTTCTGCAGAATTGAGTGGACATTAAAATGCAGATTAAACCCGATGCAACACGTCGATTTCTCTTCCTTTCTATTCTTCAGTTGTTTTCATTTTTAGTCCCAAGTGCAAAGCTGCCTACCTCAGAACCATATGGGTTTGTGTCAATTAGAAGTGAAGCTGCTTCTTGATCTGATTCAGGTAAAGGTGACAAGCCATCGCTGGTTGCTAACACAGAATGAAATAACAAAAACACGCATGAAATTCATCTGTTGTGAATGTATTATTACATAAAATACTCACAGCCAGGTACAAAAACATGAACGTCAACTAACAGTCCCCCTTTTGTGGTCATATAGTTTACCTGCTGAAATGAACACTACAACTTCTTTTGGTTATGAATGCTTAACCCATTCGCCCCTGAACCGCCCGTAACCGCCCGTGCGGATCCAGGTCCTTTCTACCCTTTGTGACGTCATCAGTTTTAACGGTCAAGGACAACTTTCTTCGCTAACTTGTGCAGAGTGAAGAGATCTTTCAAACCATACCAGAATGAGCACAATTTAGTCAAGGACACCGGAGAAAGAAGCAAAAAACCACGTGACAAGGACCTGAAAATCTCCATGAAAATCTTGTAACATTACCCACCTACCTTTCCTTTCACCTAATCCTAAGATCCTAAAAGCTTTCCCAAAAACTCTTCCCACCAAAATGAAGCCTACTAAATGCCCAGCAAGAGAAAAAAAAATGAGGCAAGAAAAGCGAAAAAAGAAGGGTGGAGAGAAAGCGAAATGCCGAAATTTTTACTTTCTGCGCATGCCCGAACTTCGCAAGCCCATATTTTGCATCTGGATCAGAAGGCCGCCAAGTGTACGACCTGTAAAGCGGTTTGTGGTAAGTTTTAGCCCTTTATAGCACGACAGTGACCAGAAAACCACTCGACTAGCTTCAAAACGCGTTTTTCGGCAAAATCTCCAGGAGCGAATGGGTTAATCTTATTTCGATTAATGTTTTATGCGTTATCATTAAATTATCTGTTCATTTAGTGCAAAGTGCCAAACTGTTTCAGGGAAGTAATTTGAAGCTCAGAAGATTCCTTAATAGGCCAGTTGCACTAAGAGGTCACGTGACCAATGCTTCCTTTAAACAATGAGTTGGAATGTTGCTGATGCCAAAAATTTGACAGAGCACATAAAAATTACCTTACACCCGAAATTTGAGAGGAAACGCATTTAAGGGAGATATTTTATGGCATTTTGATTTTTCAACAAAGCAATATGATTTGTATTGGCCGCCATGTTGGAGGGCATACTCTTGCCCTCCAACATGGCGGCCAAAACAATTTTTTGCTTATATCTTGTTAAACGTTTGATAGTTACGCTCAGATGTGCTGTAAACGTTACCACATCATCTTTTCAACATTTCCCTTGAACTTTAAGTGCAAAATTTGTGTTCTGAAAGATGTAATTCCTAATTTTTAAAAAACACATTTTGGTCACGTGACCAGTTACGAACTTAAACATTTTAAGAAAATGCCGCGGGTTTGACAAAAGAAATCACTATTATTTTGTTTAAGATATGACCCACTAATCAGTTTTCGAAGGCAAACTCATATAACTTTCATTTTCATAAAAACGACATCACATGACCTCTGGGTGCAAATGGCCTATTCCCTCATGTTAATGATTCGCCCCGCAGTGTAACACCTTACGACGATGATCATTTTAAAACACTGCCTTTTTTGATCCAGGATAGCTGCTGTCAGGAAAAGTATCACTGCCATAAGAAACAATCAGACCCTTAATCAGGTTTTTAAGTAGAGAAGGGCCAGTGTAAACTGTAAATTTTGGCCCACAATAAGCAAATTGAAATGACCACTCCAGAAAATACCATAACATGCCATAATGTTCTTTGTTTGTCACCCCAAAATTTTGCGTAAGCATTGTTTTCAGTTTCTCGCGGGGCCATTTTAACTCCCAAGAGAAACTGAAGACACTGCTTATGCAAAATTTTGGGGTGACAAACAAAGAACATTATGGTATGTTATGGTATTTTCTGGAGTGGTCAATGGTATTGATTGACTAATTTAAAAGTCTAATTTTACCTTTCAACTGTACCGCCGTTAATTGCTCAGAGAGGACTTGCAACTCCCATGATTTTTCCTTCAAAATCTTCTCGCACATTTGGTAGTTTTCTTCATCGATAGTTGTCTTCAATCTGACATTCTCACAGTTCAGTTTTCTCCTTATGTCATCAGTCACAAGGTATCTCTCCGCAATGTGATTAAGGTGACCAGACTGATAATCATTCCACAAACTTTCAAGACTCTCCAGGGAGGTGCACCGAAACTTTACTTCCAGAGATCCCAAACCCACAGATTCCAAGGCCACGTTGTGCGTCTTCTTTATATATTCAATCAGGCCAGACACTCCTTCTGAAGTTGCAATGGTACGATGTTGTAAGTACAGTTGTATTTGACGTTGTAGAGTTTCATGGACTATTTTTCTCTGTTCATCATTTAGTTCTTGAAAATTGTGCCTTGTAATTATGTCTGAAAGCAAAGAAAATACCTTTGAAAAATAATAACCCTTCACTGAGGATAAGCGAAGAATCTACAGAAACTTATTTTAGTCTAATCAAGCGACTTAAAAATCTCTTGTCTGTTGCGTGATTGGCTGAATGTGATCTTGTCCCCAGATTTGTTGCATTTCCGAAGCCAACGTGAAATACACAGCCACGGTGTAAACGGCACAAAATTCTGAAGAAATAATCACCTTTGAGTCATCTAACAATAACCCATCCACTTAAAATTTAAAAGCCAGAAGTAATAAAAAAATGTCATGTTTCTTCGTACCTGGATTAAAGGAAGATCTCGAGT